CCGTTCGCTAGTCTACTAATATATATATATATATATATGTGTGTGTGTGTATGGTTCGTATATATTTCAATGTGCATATTGAAAGTTCAAGGTTGTGCTGTTCGCACGAAAGTGGATATTCGCTATTGAGCTTAGCTATCATATCAATCAAAGTCCTATGAAGCACAACACGTGAGTAAAATAATTATTTAGATGGCATACAGACGCATATAACAAGTAGCATGTCGTCTTTTAATGCGAGTGCACTTATTCTCAAGTACAATACCTGTCGGATGATGTGGCTTTCTGTGACTAGTTTTTCCCACCCTGATTTAACCAAGTACTTTCTCTCGATCTCCACATTCTTGCTCATATTTGATAATTTCCGTGATACTACCCGAAGCAAGTTCATTCAGATGCTTATGATCGTTATTCTATATGATTGTATTTCAAATTATGAAAATAGCATAGCCTTCTGGAAAATTGAACAACAAGATAATATGAAAGTAGTTATTTATATGAACATATGAAGTACATATCACAGCACATGATCTGATGGCAGGCTGTCTGATGAATGATGATCACACAATCATTGTTTATATCCGCAGGTATATTTCACCGCTAAAATCACTTCTAAATATAGATCGAATATGTCAGTTGATACCGAACATCCGCAATCAATCTCCCGCCCATATCCTAAAGAGGAACTTTTGGCGGTTTATCGATGGATGCGAATTTCACCTACGAATATATTTATTTACAGTAAATAGGTCCTGAGACCTGATGTATGTAACCGACGTTGACATCAATGCTATATGTTGTCTTTAGATATATCATACACACATAGATGAACACACACATGTACATACACACATATATTTATATATACGTGAATTTACCCCAGTCGTCATGTTGACCGCAAACGTTGCCGATAGCGCGTGCGCAGAGAGCTCTTCGTCATCATCGAAGATGGAAATAGATGAGCAAGACAACACTACCATCGTCAAAGGAGATACAAGCACAAACACCGCCGAAGTCAACCCAGAAGATACTACTGCTCAAATGGAACGTATAGCTATTGAGAACATAAGAATGGAGCGCGAGGCTGCGGAGGCTGCTGAAGCTGCACTAGAACGAATGAAACAAAAGGTTGCATCGTGGTATTTGAACACAAGTGCTGAGCATGCAGAAGACACATTCAAGGGCATGGTACTTAGACGAGTGGTTAAGGAGAGTCACGAGAGGGTATGTGTTGTATTATATGGCGTTGTGATGGTGTGATAAGGAGAGTCGCGAGAAGGTATGTGTTGTATGAAATGGCGTTGTTATGGTGTGATCTAGTGGGAGTTGCTGATTGATTGTTTCATGTGCTGGTTGATCGGCCTACAGCATATAGTTGTAAAATGGTACTTACAAAGAGATGTGTAGTTTTTTTTATGTCTTTTTGGATATTATGGGTCAGATCTAAGGTTTCAACAACATATTCGTAAGAAATTTCTATGTTTCGATGGTGAATTACTTAACGGGTTGATAGATGCAAGCTTGGCTTCATGGATCTACGTAAGGAACTATATATACCAATGTTGATATATAATGACGTGAAATGCATTTCAGAAACTATGTTGGTACCTATAACAATTACGGGATGTATGGTGCACCCGTTTAGCATATACTCTGCAAAAGATCTTGACAAGTTTGTTCATTGCCGGTGGCATGAATATGCATTTAGCTACAGCGAGTAGTGGTTTACAACACAGAACATCTCCTCGAATGGAAAGTAGAGAGGCTTAAGGCAACATTGTGTTTGCAAATTTAAGTAGCATTTCGGCCGCAGGAAAAAGCACTCGATTACATCAAAACATATAGGGACCGAACCATCACAGCGCTACTGGTGCTACGGCACGTCGCCTGTGTACAATACTAGAGAAACTATCTGGGCTATATATA